ACACATCTGGGCTGGGGGCTCCCCGCCGGACTCCTCGGGGTGACGGGGAGCGGGGCGAGGCTCAGCCCGGCCCAGGGGGGCTCAGTGCAGCCCCGCAGAGCAGCCGGCTGGGCTCCAAAGCCCCGTGTGAAGCGTGCGGCTGGGGGGCAGCCGCCTCCCCGGGAAGGGCAGGGGGCTGAAAGGCCGGCACCAGCGCTTGGCATTCCTTGGCCCTTCTCGGGAGGCAGCTGGCCCCTCTGGCACCTTCCCCCGGGGTGGTTTGGCTCTGTGGCAGGTCTACGGAGAACACTGTAACCTGGTGGCTGCAAAAGTTCCCCCGACAGTGGGTGAGCACAGAGGTATCTGCCACTTCACTCACATCACCTGCCAAATCAACCCACAGTCAGAGCCCGCGGTGAAAGAGAGGAAAAGCCTCAGATTGTGCTTTGGTGCCTCGAAGAAACCCACGTGCTTTTAGCCCCACGGCCTGGGACTGCATTCCTGGCCTTGGAGATTCCTGCCGGCACTCCAGTCTTAGTGGACACGGCGCTGCCTACAGAAGGACCATCACATGCTGGTCTGTGTTCCATGAACCAGAATATCACATTTTTTACAGGCTCTAAAATACAGCATAACCAAGCTTCCAGGTGTCCCATAAAGACAGATAACTGCTTACTGCGGCCACTGCCTTCCCATTTCCAGAGTCTACACACAATCCCTCAGAATAAAAAACTCCAGAGCCCAACTCCTCACAATAAAAAACTCCAGAGCCCAACATCCAGAGAGGATGAGCCAGAAGCAGGTAGGCAAGAGTGCCAGCCACTGCTCCTGCCCCGGGCCAAAGCCAAAGAGGTCCAAAGCCACGGGTACTGCCGATCTCAGAGTCATTTTGTGTGCCATCATCTGGTCAAACCGTTCCAATCTGTCACCTCTGAAATTTATTCCGCTGCAGGATTTCTTCTGACAGAGGGCACAAAGAGGCTATAGTCATGTTAATAAGGAGCAAGTGCTGTCAGACAAAATATGGGAACAGACTGGAAGTAGGGGGGGTGGGTGAGGGGCACAGCCATGGCCCACGCTCCAGACAACAGCTCTGGAGAGGGAGCAACACTCACTTGTGCTAAACAAAACCTATCCACTCTCTTATACCCTGTCCTGGGACCCAGAGAATTGCTGAATCTGAAGATAAGCATCCACCCTAGAGAAACAAATCCAGATAACACTCCCTCATTTCAATACTCCATAAATACAGGGGAACGTTAGAGCTGCCACCTTTGCTACCGGCTGTTCATCTGTCATCTAGTGCTGGTGCTTCTACTCCTGTCTCAAATAGCTTTTGTCATTTTCCTTCCAAAAAAGCAGCATTAGTCAGCGGTGTGCCTCCTTCTTATCTAAATATGACATATATGAATGCAGGTCATGGGAAAGCAGAGCTGTTATCAGAGGTATAGGAGGCTGTGCTCACATTTTTTTTTTTTTTTGGAGAAAGATTTATCTACTGGTGGAAGTCTCAGGCAAGACAAGACAAAGAGGAGTATTTTGTCTTAAAACACACTAAATTCTCTGAATTCAACGGTTCTAGAAGTGCCAACTTCGAGGTAGAAGAGGACTTGAACCTTTATTTTACATATGCTGGGGCCCTAGAAATCTCATACATCTTTATTTAAAATATTTACTCCATGCAAAAGATTTCATGGACTCACAATCTAAATAAAAGGCAGCAATGATTAATCTAATCAAGTAATAGTGGAAATAAACGTACAGAGGCTTTGGTTAGCACTAAATTTTGTGCAGGCCTTATGAAATGACCAGTAAAGCCAAAGTCACTCCTGTTTATATGGGACTTCTGAACAAGAACCCAGAAGTTTTAAGGTGCAAACACGGTTTAAATCCTTCATAGTTGTCTTCCTTCTGTAGCCTCAAAATCCACTGAAATACACTGGTCTGATTCTTTTTTCTGAAAGAACTACTTCCAGGTGAATTATTTCAGTGCCATTTTCCCCTCACATGAAGTTTTCAGTGGCCTGAGGAAGAAAATTTCTGAGTAAATTAGACTGGACTTATCATCCTGGGTTTTTTTTTTTAAAGATTCCTGCCTCTTTTTAAGGAAAACACAGAAGCGCCTATTGCTCTCTGTAGTTGGTGCTCAGGGTCTAAACTGTTTTCCTTTTGCTCTTTTCCAGATTTCATTTTTGCAGCCGACTTTTGTTTTGCAGAAGCGCCGATTTGAAGCCTGCGGCGCTCGGTTACAGGGCGCAACCGCAGCACAGGGACATTCCCAAACATCTTCACACCTGCACACACGAGAAAGCGCTGACTAACACTGGCTGCCTGAAACATACTGGCTGGTGTAACGCTTCCTCACAAAAACAGCCACCCCAAACCTTCTTTCGAGCATTAGTGTTGGTTATGAACTAAAGTTTGCTTTTCTAACCAATAAAACCGGGTCATTTTCCGTCAGGGGCTACCAGGTATGAGGTAACCTCGACCCTCGCGTGTCTCAGGGTGTCGCAATGACCACGATGCTTTGCCTACAAACACACCGTAACAGTCAGTGACAACTATCGCTGACCGGCGAGGTTTCACTTCAAGACAGAAAACAAAACAGCTCCAAATGAGTCAGCGGTGGGCGAGGTGACTCCGGAGCACCAACACCTCTTCCCGCAGATGCTGATCTCACACCGATGCAGAGAGGACGGTTCCTGCTCCGCCAGTGATTTTCCCGGGCACGCTCCCCCGCCGGACGGTTTCCCGTTTCCTCTCACTACTCCGAGAGAGGAAGGAGAAGCGGAGCCAGCAGCCCCCCAGCACGCCCCTTCCAACGGAGCGGGGGACTGGAGGCTCCAGGGCACAGCCCGGCTGGGCAGAGCCAGCGCCGCCTCCCACCCGGCTGCCCCCAACCCCCGTGTCCGAGACACCCCCCCGCGCCCCGAACCCTGCCCGTCCTGTCCCTGTCCCTGCCCTTGTCCCTCTCCCTACCTCTGCCCTGTCCCTGTCCTGTCCCCGTCCCTGTCCCGCCGTCACCGGCCGGGCGGGGTCGCCCTTGCCCAGCCAGCGTCCCGCCCGCGGGGCATCTCTGCCTACGTTACACTAACAAATCACATTTCATTATTATTTTCTTCCTCTTCCCAGCCACATTTCCTGTAACTCCTTTTTTTTTTTTTTTTTTTTTTTTTTTTTTTTATATATATTGATTTTGCGTTTTCCGTACAGCGTAGCTCTATTTCCACAGGCAGCCCCCAGCTCGGGGCAGGGGAACGGAGCACATCGGCTTCTGGTGGGAGTGGGAAGCAGCGCTGGGCTAATGCTCACGTTGGAGCTGCACTCCAGGGCTACCCCAGGCCGGGGCACTGCCTCGCCTAAACGTGGCTTTAGTGCCTGTACTGACTCCCACTGACTGTCTCCTTATAGCAGCCCACCTGCAGCAACTGCCCTCCGCACACCGTACCAGCCTTCGTCTAGCATCTCCTCTTCTGCAGAGAGCGACTGCTTCCCACCTGCCTCATCACAGGCCTCCCGCTTAGGGCTGAGCACCCTGAGCCTTGTCTCTAGCTCAGCCTGAACACCGGGTGCCAGCTCCCGGCGTGACACAAGCCCACTGCAGACCAGATCGTACCCAGGGATGTCCAGCCCTCGCCACGGCAGCACAGAGCCTGGCCCCATGCCCTCACTCAGCCGGCACCAGAATGCATCCGAGATACCAAAACCACGTCTCCTCCTTATATACCTACCACTTCGTTCCACTTTGGGCTTTAACGGGGTTTTCCTTGGTTTAAGGATTTGCTTCTTGAGCAGAGAGAAGGCCTTGGACTGCTGAGCTTCAGACAACACTCCCATATTCCTGAGGAGCTGAAGCACCCTGCGCAGCAAGAACGGCTTCACCTTGTGCTGGGCCACCTTGAGAGGACTGACATGAATTTTGGGCAGGTTGACTTCTCGATCACAATTATAAAACCGAAAGAGATTCCAGGCCAAGCTAGGTCCAAAGGTATCCATTAAAATGTATCTGGAAAGTTTAAGGAGAATGTCACAGGGTAACTGCTTTTCTTGTGGTTTCTGGCCCAGGTTCTGACTTAGCAAACTTCTCCTTCCCTGGTGACTCAGGAGAGAGCGGCTCCTGAACAGGCTGGAGGGTTTGTACAAGCCCACGGTCCCAGGAAAGGTTTTCTTACTGTGCAACAGTCTTTCATAATCCATATCCCACAAAGAACTGTTGGGATTCAGGCTATGTTCTGAAATAATCGTAAATACAGCAAAACCTATTAAACATAGACAGTGAAGAATCCCAATGCGTTTGTTTCTTTAAAATAAATATATATATATCTACATTTATCAATGTTCTGCTGTAGCCCTGGATACAGTGCAGATGGCTACATTACTTCGACAAACTTACTGAATGTTTTGACAGGCCAAATCAAAAAATTTGCAATAGATAGGTTTTTAGGTACTACAGCGTAATAATCGTTATTTGTAACTTCTAATTTAAAGTAGCGTTTTCTGTAATGCTCAGGAAAACTATCTTTGTTACTCATACACACACTTCAGAGTACATAGGTTCCTAAAAAAAACCCCAACAAACCCGTCACCAGAAGAGTATGTGCTATTCCATATACGTTTTCTGAAAATCATTACAAAAAAAATAATGACTTTTATTAAAGGCTACAAAAGCCTTTTTCACAAGAAGGGAAAAAGTTTTACACTCCTGCTGGGCCATTTGCAGATTGGGTCCAGCCCCAGGGCCCACCACAGCCTCTATGTTTCCAATGGATATAGGTTGGGTTTAAATGAAAGGCTCAGTTTTGCTTTCTAGATGCTCTCTCTGGTCTCTGCCTGCTGATTTAAGCCATTAGCCTGGTGTAACAGGGTACAGCCACAGCTGCTCAAAGGCCGTAGCTTCACTCTGCAGACAAGAAGGTGCTGGCATGGGAGAAACAGGACTCTGGAGCTTAAATTTGCTTCTAAGGTAGTGCCCCGAGCCAGCTCTCCTTCATCAAGGCTGAGCCTGAAGATTCAGTTTACACTCCTGAGAACTGATCAATAAAACAATTAAAACCAACATAAGTAGGGTGGGACTTCATGATAAGTAGGGCTGCAAATGCATAAGAAAGCTCTAAGAAGGGACAAGGAACCCAAAACTTAATTGGATCGTGCCAAAAATATTTGAAATAGTGAATGTTGTAGCATACGGCATACTGCTGAAGGCTGGAGGTCATGTCCTGGGAGCCCTGGAATGTGCCTGAAGCCCTCCCTTTCATTTCTAAGCAGAAAACAAGATTTTGAAGAATGTTCTTCTATATCCTAGAGGTGGATCCTAGTCCAGCATGTTTGAGAAGCTTCAGGTATGTTTTTATAATTTAATTCAAGATTATCAGCTTCAAGTAGTTGTAACTTACAGTCCAGGGGAACGCTTGCATATTGTAATCGTATTAGTTCAGTATTCTACTATTATGTTGGAATTTTACATAACAAAATGCACATCTATGGCTGTAATTCCTCCCTGAAAAAAAAACCCAACAACATTGTATTACTTAGAAACTGCAAAATATGACTGCTAGGAGTAGATGACAGCGGATAACTCGGGAGTATGTCATAGTGCAAGCAGGATTTTGCATCTTTACTGCATCTTTCAGTCAGAGCAACCAACAGCCACTGCAATAACCCTATTCATAAGACCCTTGACTGATCAAGATCTTCCACTAATTTACTGGTGGGCTGACACGGAGGGGAGCAAACTGCTTTGGGTGAGATCTGTGGGACAACAAAGAGGACCCAGCCCCAGTAATATGGGCTCCGTATCACCCTCTCCTCCCGTGCAGATGTGTTGGGGGGTGGATGGTCCCTGCGGAGCAAGACTGGATGCACCATGGTGCCAGTCTGGGCCAAAGGGAAAGGGCTTCGGGGCAAGGGCCAAAGCATCCCCGAGCACATCTAATGGCCCTGCTGCAGCGGAGTGACTTGAAACGCAAGCAGTGCTAAACCTTTAAGTAGGTCTGCAAGCTTCCTAGAATAAACTGCTGTGTAAAACGTTATTTAGAATAAAGAAAACTTTGGATCGATGTCTTGTCTTCAAAGGCAGCCCTTAAACTAAAAAAGGCCTGAGGAACTAAAGGAGAAAATCCATGAAGGGCCCTGGGCGTGCAGTCGCCTCCAGAGCCGCAGTCAAACCATGCCATCTGTCTGTGTCTTGAAGTCAAACTGGAAGCCACGGGCGTGTTTCCCTTCCGTTTTTTTCTCCAGATAAAAGCAAGGCTTAGCCCTGGCAGCCACACTCCTCCTCTAAGCCCGGGCCGGGCCATAAATAGCCACGGCTGGGGGGGGCTCGGCCCCCCGACGGCTGCAGCAGCGCCCTCCCCTCTCGTCCTCCCCCTCCTCCTTCCCCCCCCCCGGCACTCCCGGGGAGACCGTCACCGTGTCCGTCCTGACTCGGGGGGTTCATCGCCG